TCCTCAACAACAACCTCATCTACTTCCTCGACCACAAGCAGCAGCTCAACGAGCAGCACCTCTAGCACTAGCACGTCAACTACAAGCTCGACAACGTCCTCAAGCAGCACGTCTTCGACAACTAGCACATCTACCTCTTCGAGCACAAGCAGCAGCTCCACGACCAGCAGTTCAAGCACGAGTTCATCATCAACATCCACATCATCAAGTAGCACGACTAGCAGCTCAACATCAACAAGCACCACAAGCAGCAGCTCTACATCGTCTTCCACAAGTAGCGTGACCACTGTGACTGCAACATCCACTTCCTTTACCACAACCAGTAGCTCCACAACAAGCTCTTCGAACACAACGACTTCAATGACCCTTACTTCGTCCACAAGCTCGTCGCGCACTTCAACATCGAGCACCACCACTAGCACCAGCAGGACGCAAACCTCCACCACTTCTCTTAGTACAACATCAATAAGTTTGTCCTCCACTTCCACCAGTAGCAGGTCTTCCTCAACCACAACATCCGTCAGTCAGACTCTAACCTCGACAAGCACGACCAGCCACACTAGAACCATCACCACCACAAGTAGCCAGACACTAACGTCAACCACGACGTCGACACGCAGCAACACCATCACATCAACAAGCACACGCACCCAAACAACTAGCTTGACGTCTACGAGCAGCACCATGACTACCACATCATCAACCTTCAGTACGACATCTACTTCAACCTCAACTAGCGCTTCTTCAAGTACAACAACCTCAAGTAGCACCTCCACGAGCACAACATCGTCGAGCACAACATCGTCCTCAACCAGCACATCCTCTAGTACAAGCTCGACGTCGAGCACAACCACCACCTCCTCATCCAGTACCTTCTTCACAACCACATCGTCCAAAACAAGTACATCTACTTCTTCGGGTACAAGTAGCAGCTCTACAACAAGTACGTCAAGCACGAGTTCTTCTACTGCATCCACATCTTCAAGTAGCACAACCAGCACTTCGTCATCAACCAGCAGCACAAGCACCAGCTCAACCACTAGCACCAGCACCTCTAGTACAAGCACATCAAGCACTAGTACTTCCACCATGACTACATCGACCACATCCACGTCCTCCAGTAGCACAACAAGTAGTTCAACATCTACAAGCACCACAAGTAGTAGTTCGACAACGTCCTCCTCATCAACATCTACCAGCACAAGCTCAACAACAAGCAGCACCACCACCTCTTCAAGCAGCACGTCTTCAAGCAGCACCTCTTCGAGCAGCACATCTTCAAGCAGCACGTCTTCAACAACGAGCACATCTACCTCTTCGAGCACAAGCAGCAGCTCATCGAGCAGCACCTCTAGCACAAGCACGTCAACTACAAGCTCAACAACGTCTTCAAGCAGCACGTCTTCGACAAC